GAATGAAGAGCAATTTCGATGCCACCTTGCCCCTTGCAATGTGTTTCCGTTTAACTCGACACCAGAATGCGGCTCAAGTAGCTGCCGGTTCGCGAAAGGACAAACACGATGTAGATGACAAGTTATCCTTGTATTTAGCCGACACTTGCGCTGTTCATCCGCTGTCTGCCTGGCTTTGGTTTCTCCTATCGACTGTGCCACTTGTACTGTATCAGCTGTCTCGTGGCCTTATGGCCGCTCAATTTTCCACCGAGCTGACTCAAATTTTGATCAAACAAGATTCGGAAAACGTTGATGACGAAAACCGCATTGCCCCTGGCACTTTGATCCAGTGTACGATAATCATGCCAGATCGTTTGGACTCTCCTCACTGTATGCTAAGTCATCAGAGTCACTTTACTCCGATTGATTTGAAAGTGGATAGACATACATCAGCCGAATGGTGCCGCTCGGATGAATTAGCCATGTGCGACCTGACCGCTTCATCTCGTCTTGCTCCTAATCCCTATCATTTACTTGAGGCAACCACTTTATTAGGTGCTCATGATGCTGTTAATTTGGAACGACTCGAGTTGTTGGGTGATTCTTTGCTTCAACTTATCGGCACACTGGACGTGTATTCTTCAGCCTCCGTAGATGCAAATGAGGGCTGGCTGACCGATCAACGCATCTCATTGGTTTCCAATGCGAATTTGTCACGACTCGCCGTAAAATTTGGTTGGGCAAAATACTGCACCGGCCACGTATATTCACCGCCCAGTCATTTTGTTTTCCCGTGCTACACGGTTTGTACCACAGTAAGTACACTTGCTGCTACCTGGAGCAAATTATCCCATCAGTATTATTCTCAATTTTACGCTCTGTATGTGCGTGGTTTCCCCTTTGTTTTTACTACGTAATTATAATTTACACAGGAATATGTAAGTCTCATAACCAGAGGATCGACGTAGTGTGTGGATGAAATGGCCATGCCTAGTCTATTGATTCCGCCTAAAACGGCTGTAAGACGTAGGTCGGAGCGAAAACCAAAGACGGGGGGGGGGTGCTATACCACAACCTATCTGTTCTCACGATCAAGGCGTTTGAAATTCAATCATCTGAATCTTGGGAAAAGTTTTTAAAGATGAGTAGCACCCTGGGCTCTTGATTGACCGGAAATGTGAAAGCAATGAGAGTAAATAAGGTAACATTTGGGGAACAGGAATGAAAGTATAAGGGCAAAAGCGAACGGTTGGAATGACAGCCTGGTGGTGGAACAGAGACTGTGTTTGCCTTTATAAAACGACAATGGATGGGGCAGAATATCTTATTTTATGTGCGGCCTAGTAAACGAAGAGGAGAAACTAATACACGATTCCAAGCTTGATTTTAGTCCTGAAGAGTGGAGCAAATTTGGGTCTCTTATTTCAGCATAATTCATCGCAGTGAAGAAGCGTCCGGTGCAATGTAGTAAACCAGAATTGTTCTCAAAACGATCAGCAACAGAACAAATATATTGGGGTTAAGACAGATCACCGAGCAAGCAAGATTTCATGGAACAGGGGAGCACATTGTTGAGAAATGAATAAAGATCAAAAGGTTGACGTTCAGGTAGAATGGACAGCGGAAGTCCTGGAAAGCATTGAGGGTGACAGCTTTTTGCATTGAGACAAAACCAAAATAAATACCTGTTTAATCTCTTCAATCGCTGAAGTAAAACAATGCCGTTGGGTTGATTAATTGTAGGGAACGAATGTGTCAATTTTAACAAAGATTACCTGAAATAGAATGAAAAGATCACTTCCGTGTTAAGTGGATTGATTGCGTCAATAGCCATAACGGTAGAGGAATGTGTGCAAACTGGCAATGCTTCGTTAATTGCCCATTGCGAGCGAATGCTCTGAAGAGGTATCTTCCTTTTTGTGTGTGTCCGCGCTGCAATCTGTATGGATTCTTCCGATCAGGGTCCTGACGCAGCATTCTTTGTGACTGTGTGGATAATTACTTTTGAAGCGAAGGGTCTGATCCGTATGCTTTGCTTTGCGGTGGATCATTGTCTGCAGGTTTACCGGTGACGTTTCGGTAATCAGTATACCCAAAAGTGCTCGTTTTTTATCGTTCTTCGTCTTCATTGAATGTGTTATTGACGATGTTACGTTATCGTTATTGGTAAAACAGTTGTATATTATGGTGGATGCTATGTTCTCAATTCCGTGGTTAGCCTAACGTTGCCAAGAAATAGAGAAATATCTGGTATTAATATTCGGTAATTGGGTTCAAAGAATTTCCCCTAAAGAATGGTAAGTATTTTGGGGAAAACTGAAAAAGAGCTGAATACCGAATGCATTGCACTAAAATTAAGCCGAGAGCATCGTGAAAGATTTCAATTTCTTCGATACGTAAAGTATACGTTAGACGGTATATTTAAATTCCATTACAAATGAGTAGTATAGGATTGTAAACGTTGTGATTTAATAACAGAATTAATGTACTTTGCATCGATCCGGCTTGTTTTGTTACAAAACTCCCAATTGATTTTCCATACTATCTAATAACATCTACTGATTAACATGCTGTCGGAGTTTCTGGAACTTATCCACTTTTCGAGTTCCCTATGGGTGCGACGTGGCAAACAACACCTAACAGGTTTATCGCTGATAAACTCCCGAGCACTTACCTCCAGATGACTAACCCATTGGCCCCATTCCACGTTTAGCACTAATTAATTCCTTACGGGGTCGGTCGTCACGCAGGATAACCAGAACCACGCTGCCCATTCCATCGAGCGGTTTGGTTAGTGCTAAGTGGGTTAATGCTCAGATATACCAGCTTATGGTTAACTCTGTCTTTTACACTCAACCCTCTCCCTATGCCCCTTCCTCTTAGTGCATCAGAAGCCTGCCTAGGCTGTCATTGTACTCTGCGCTGCCAGCGAACAGATAATGGCGACCGACTTATCCAGTTCTGCAGAGATCATCAACTGTTCCCAACCAGTACTAACTTCCGACACAGCTCTCAACGGACAGCAACGTGGCACTCCCATTCAACTGGTACGCTAACTCAAATCGACCACAGAGCATCGTTGATATGGCTTAGTGCAAAATCGCAGGTCCTATTGGACCACTTGCGTTGAGTCTGACCACACATAGGTTTTGATGCAGTTCACCCTCTTACTAACTCACTGGTCCCAGAAAATCCCACTAGACTCGATTGGTAGATGATCGTTTATCTGGCCCAGCCGTTCGTGCCCGTTTTGAATCAGAACTAGTGCAAGAACTAAACGCGATTCGGTGTGGATGATGGGATCAGATTAGAAAAAGAATGCACCCGGCAGCGACTATTGCTTCTAGATCGGAAACGATAGCCTGTCGTAAGCATTGATTATCTGATAAGTCAGTAGCACTGATAGAAAAAAAAGCGACGAATCCCGACCGCCCGGGATCAAGGCAGGGTTAGGTGGCGTCTGCAACATCAGCCCACCAAGAGCCCTAAGAAAGACTGAGAACTGGTGGGCAACAATAACTAGTGAAATGGAAGTAGCAGCTGCATCATGGAATATTCAAAGGCTGTTCCAACTGATACGCAATACTGGAGGTCGCCGAACCACAGTTAGTGAAACAATTTGCGACAAAAGTGGGCAAGGTATTCCCAATAGGGAACAACGGTTTGACCGGTGGGCGGATTACTTCAACGAATAGTTCAGTTGGCCAGATTACTTCATCGGCAACAGAAGCAGAAGCTCGCTCTTGCATTCATGCCCTGAACCAAGTAAAATCAACAGGACTGGCTGGGTTCCTTCTTACTGTCTCCGGGATTGGGAATCATGTCCTCGTAAGCTCTATTAATACCCTACTGCGCAACATTTGGACGCAAGAACTCATTTCTTAATCTTGGGGCGAATCACTGATCGTTCCCATTTTTAAGAAAGGATCACGCAACGATTGCGATCTACTTTTGATCCCTATCTCCACCCGAGTGTTAGCTTCCATCATATTTCTATGTTCGACTCCCTTCAGGGAGACTATTCGCGAACAACAAGCATTATTCCCTCCAGATTGCTGTACGATGAAGATGTGACATAGCAGGAGAACTGGCTCGTCTAACCTCTCGTGGTTCCTGCGTGTGTAGCGATAAACCGTATCGCGTACAAGTATTATTGCGTTCAGCTAGATTGTAATATTACGAAATGAGGTCATGAAGCCACATGACTCTAGGTAATGTACGCCTTGTGTGTTGGCGTTTTTTTGGTACAGTCTACATGAGGGCCGAAGTTTTGAGACTATAAGGGATGCCTAGATGTCTACGCTGCATAAATTCATAGATATCAGCTAGCGTGCTTGGATTACAAACTATCTGGTTTAAGGGAACCGTAATTGATTGACGTTTATGCCTATATATATGTATATATATGTTTTTATTATATTATATTATATATTTCATAATAAGTAGTATGTAAATGTTTGGACAGAATTTCTCTGGAAGCACACGACCTGTTTCGCGGTTCTTTCTGCTCGTCTGGCATGCATATCCGGTTATCTTTTGTCAGTTCATTCATATACTTTTTTAATACACACCTAAGTGTGATGAACAGCAAACGATGCGAACCCCTTAGTCACGAGGACCTGCTGTTCAGTGACGGAAACCGGTGACCTAAGCCCCGGAGCTTGGAGTGACGAACCACATAAGGCCCCGCTGGGTTAGGCGTGGTGTTTAACTGGACGACAACAAAGCTGCCTACCACCAATGTCTGGTGGTGGTTGCGGCGTTCGAACCTCGGACCATAGAGTCCAAATCACGAAGGTGACAGCGACTAAAACACCGAGCCACCACCACCCAATTGTACCCAGGAAGTGTATCTTCGTCACAATAACCTTTTTTGCAATACCGGTGACATCTAGATAGACGGATCTTTCTGAGCCAGTCCGTTGAAAAATCAATGCTATGATTCGAAGTTTTGTATATATATATGAAATACTGGTTCACACAAACCACTTGCCCCTCTATTGCGGAACCATTTTTCTACAGGCCAGTCTACCGGATGGGGATGCACGACTGACTGTTGGATTGACGGACAAATCCCTGGCGGACATGATGGAAGCATTAATCGGTTGCTTCCTAATTCATCTTGGCTTGCCAAGTGCGGTTCGACTACTCAGTCATTTCGGGATTTCACCGTTCGGGACGAATGAGTCACAGACAAAGGGAATGTGGAGAAGATTATTGTGCACGGATGGTTTCACCACAGTGAATTCGCCTGTCAAACTCGGGACCTCGGATACCAACGAAGCCAAGCGATTATCCAGACCGATATCTATGCCTTTCCTGGGTGATAATTCGATACCCAACAGCCCTATTCTGACCGAACGAGATAACTTTATTAAACCGGAGCAGCTCACGGGATTACAAAATATCATAGGCTATTACTTCACGGATGTTACTCTTCTGATTCAGGCGCTGGTTCATATATCTTCACCTCACGTTAAACGCTATGGTTCGTATGAGCGGTAAGTGTTCGAGTGGAATGGGATCTATTTTCCTGTCACCTCTTGAGAGATTGAACATTCTTACAAGAAGATCCATAAATCTCAAGAAACCCCTCTGAACACTTGTTAGTGAATGCACTTCCGTGTCTCCAGAACTCCATAAGTGGATCCCTTGGTTAGCTACCTTTGTGAAGTTTGGTTTTGCGGCTTCAGCTGCCATCATTCCAAGGTTCAAACTTTTAAACACTACTCAGCATGCTGACCTTGCTCGCTGTGATTTAGAAGGTGAGTATGATGATCACCATCTGGTGCGATCAACCTTGGGATCCAATCCTCACGTATAATTGACTTCAGTGATCTGATTGTAGTCTGTGTGACATAGCGGATAACGATCCTCAGCCGAGTCTTGTAAACCTTTTCAAACTTGAACGAACCGTATTTAGAAGCTGGCTATTTCATTATTGATCAGAATTACATCAAATAACGCATCATCCAAACCGGTCTGGTGGGTTTTGGGAGTCAAAGAGAAAATAAAGAATTTGTATCGATGGGTTGTAAGGAAAATGAGTCGATGCATAAGCGCCACTGTTTCGAATACTTCGCCATATCGTTCAATGTATCCAACCTCCGGTTACGATAATCCCGAGGTTCCCATCCAAGTGTTCGAGTGCATACTACGTTGGCGATAGAGTCCAGTTAAACACATTTTCTCGATCAGAAGTTTATCTTAATCAGACTACAGTTTCACAACTCACGTGGTCGAAAATACCACTTGTTCTGGCCATTATTATTGCATCGTTTTTTTAATTACACACTTTCCCGTGATGAACAGCAGACGATGCGAACCCCTTAGTCACGAGGACCTGCTGTTCAGTGACGGAAACCGGTGACCTAAGCCCCGGAGCTTGGAGTGACGAACCACATAAGGCCCCGCTGGGTTAGGCGTGGTGTTTAACCGGATGACAGCAAAGCTGCCTACCACCAAAATCGAGTGGCGGCGGACCATAGGGTCCAAAGCACGCCGGTGACAGCGACTAAACCGCTGCGCCACCACTACCCCATTGTCAACACCTGGTCGACAGTGTAGATGCTGCGTTGAGGAATGTATCATCAGTGGAGACGTTTGTGCTCATGCAGATACACCATAATAAAGTATATCAAATCTTCTGAAAAGGTTTGTTATCTCGCATTTACGCTGCCCGCTTCTGATCGCGCAATCGTTCTTATCCTAATGCTAGTTCCTTCATTTTATTCTACATCCGTAGCTTCGAATTTCTCGGCGATGCTGTTCTGGGCTACTTGATCACAGTATATTTGTACCATGAACACGTGGAATTCGATCCAGGTAACTCGGAATGGTTGTGTTCTCGTAGTTACGCTCTCTATCCTGTCACTCATTGATGTTTATCAACGTGTATTCTGGAATACTAATAGGGCACAAATGAGAAAATGGTTTATGTTGTAATATGTGCACGCGGATTTTGTGCAATCGGTTTGTCTCCGTTCCATATCCGTGCATATTGTATCTGCGTGGATTGTACACCATTCTTAGTAATATACACTTAAGTTTCCTTTGAATAATGCCTTCACTGTACGGCCTGTCGGTCTCTTTATTCTTCAAAGTGTTGGTTCTTCTCCCGTCCCGAAGCGCTTAACCGACAGAGAAAGCTGTAGGAGTTTGTAGAAATTATTCTTATCATTACATACATGAAATACTTGCCGTCGACCGCACATTGCATATTCCATATTTCATGAGATTCTTCACACAATTGGATTCAGTTTCAGTGCTGTCTCAGTGGATTCCGTCACATTTCATCTTCCTTTTTCTGTATGGTGATGCTTTCCGTGAGAATAAGGCTGTAAATTCATTGTTTTTTTTACTGGAAGTGGGGATAATTTAATTCATGATCTTATCTGAACGGTATAAACCAAAACTGAAATAATACGGGATCAGTGAGGGTAGGGGGGAGGAGTGTTTATATGCCTCGGAACCTGATTGCTCACTAATGAGCCTCCATGTTTATGTTCACCTTCACGCTGAACATGCCTCTCCCTAGCTCGAGGATCAAGCTTGTTCACTCATACCAAACCTCAATATTTTTCTCCTCAAAACTAATCGGGGATTAGATTTAATTATATTGTGAATTTCGTCGTATAGAGAGTAAAAGAAGTTTGAGCTGAATAGCCTTGAAGCATGCTACAAGAAGTCAGGATCGGAGTGTTTCCAATGGAGTCATAACCCGAGAGGCTTGTACTGAAATGAGCGGAGTGTGATACCCGCAACAAGTTTGCAAGGATGGAGTGTTCTATATTGTGTATAGGCAGAATAATAATCGGTCCGACCAGTTGTTCAGTGATCCAGTTGGTAGTATTATTGCGTCCCATCTGTGTGATCTTGGGTTCGATCCCCAGTCTTGTTGATGCTCCGCACTACTGACGAGACCCAAAAAGGTTGAAGCAGCTGTGCCATGGTGCCTAGTTTTTCAGCTCACGCCTCGTTTGCTCTATACCTGACAAATTTCACAACAACTTTTCCTGTCTGTTATCACTTTTCATTCTATCGGTGTTTGGTAACCAGTCCATTCACTCGGCTTGGATTCGATTTTTTCTCGTAATTTTGTCGGAACTGTCCTCTTCATTACCTGATGCATTAGTTCTGATTTCCACGTTGCCGGTCTTCATTTCCGCTATACTGGTACACATCACCGTGTTTCATTTATTGGCTAGCATTGTCCTGAACTGACTGAAAGTGTATCCTCTTTTCCTATTCTAAACCCATTCGCCGCGACAACGAATAATTTGTCTTTGTTTCAGGCCAGTTGACAGAGTCCCGATCCAATATTGTGAGCAATAAAAGTCTGGCGAGTGCAGTTGTCGAGCACAAGATTCATCCGTACATCATTCATTCTAACCCTTGCGTTGAAAGTGCCGTTTCTTGCATCACTTGCATTCACGACAGAACGTCTTCGTACTCGGAACAGCTTGAAGTAAGTTCTCTTGGTGTGTGTTGCGTACTCATGGTTTGTATCTCATCGCAGATCAGCATTAGGAAATGTTCCCCCATTTTGATCCCAAGTATCTTACTATGTTACTATACGAAAACGGATACATCTGTGGGGACATCCCCCACCCTCGTCGATAAGCTGTTGTCATACTAGAAACCGGTCAAAGTTAGATTTGCTATAGATTTTTACCTACATTTGTCAATAACGATTAAGGACGTAAATTTTCGATACATCATAGCGCACTGCTATTGCTCCTTAGAGATCAGCTCAAACAATGTTCCTTCTGCCGATCCGCTCAGCCGTTACCTCTATGCGTTTTGGGTGCGTATAGGTCGTGGTAATCGTTATGTGAACTAGGAAATCGCTTTACTTCACCTCCACTGACTCGGTCACGTTTTGCATATGTTTTCTCATTTTCTGCCTCTCCTCTCTCTTGTCGCACATACATGCTAAAGCTTGAGGAAGCGACGCAATAGTCAGGCCACGACTTGAAGTATGAAGAGATTAGCTTCGGTTCATGGTGCCTATCTTCCGGGTCGACCGGGACCGTCCGTGTTTAGATACTCCGGCTTTGTACAGAAATCACTTGCTCAAACGTTGCATGATACGACTATTTAAACCCCATACCCCTTAAAACCAAAAAAATTGAAAAAACTAATAATATCGTGCAGAAGTAAACACCTAAAAAGAATTGCTGTTGGTAATCTGTTTCCATTCTTCATCCTAAAGTGGCTTAAATAAAAACCGTTCTTTCTGATGCTGGTGAAAGAAAATCAATGTTGGTTCACCTTTATCTGTAACCCCCGTCCCTATCGGTTACTCTAACCCCCGTACATATCTTGGTCCGGATTGCAGCTGCTCAATCAAGAAGTGCTCAAAGGACTGCGTCTTAAAGTGTTGGCTGACGTTTTCGAGTCGATTATCGGTGCGATTTTCGTGGATTCACAAGGGGATTTGGACTTGGTGAATCGAGTAATCCATCGCCTTTTAATTGAACGCATTCGTAAGTTCGCACACCTCGCATCGTTCCATCTGTTTGTATCGCATTGAGTGATTTTCAACCTTATATCCCGAGTCACAAGCGAATTACAATAGGAGTAGTTTTTCACTTCATTTCTTCGATCGTGATACCCAGAGAATTATCACAACCTTCCCGTATTCCAACTAAAATCTGCGGTCCTGCGTCTTAGTTTCAAGAATACACGCTTCATATCTGCCTTCTTCCTCTTCCCCTCTCCAGTATTATTTATCCACAGGACTACTGCGTGATACGCCATACGGCCAAAATAACTATTCTTGAAAATGAACTCATCTGATGAGGATCGCTTGAATGATGTGTACACCTGTTCACAAATTCTGTCAAACTCATTTCCAATTTACCGCCCAGGGTTTGTTTCATATAAGGGATAAGCGGGCTAATCGTTCTGTACCGCGATCATTTGACTAATTCCTACCATTGGGTTGGTTTTGTCCTCTTTAAGGTAAATCTGCTTCCACCCTGATGTATAAGACGACTTATGAAGGCTTTTGAAGAGACCGAAATCCTTTTGGATTGATAATCGAAATTGTGTGAGGAACTACAACTAGCATTAGACAGCCATTTCATCTTCATGGACAGTCCTCAAAGGTGCGTAATAGTTGTATCCACGACTCATCGGTTGTCTCCGGCTCGGTATGTCATACTTTTCTCTTTGCATACCTCGAAAGGATATCGTATAATGGAGTTAAATTCACGGTCCTAGGAGGTCGTGCTACGGACACTTTCCTTAGAATCCCTTTCGAAGGGAACTTTTTCTCAACCCAGTTTGCCACAAAATCTGCGATATTTATGGACGCTTCATTCTTTTGGAAATACCTTGTTTTCAAAGTTGTTAAAGATCAACTGTCTATATATTTTTGTATTGTATTCTTCATCGCACTGAAATATACCGGTGCATCAGGAGCTTTTGTTCATCAAACGGTCAGGCTATCAAACAGTCGAAGTCAAATTTTCAGGTTCACAACTGCAGACAATCAGTTGTTAAAATTTATGGATCATTAGCGTAGATTTATACCAGCTTGAACCTGTCGTTTATCATCATTTACCATCACTACGAGACTACACCTTGACGTAGTGTGATGGCTTGTGCACCTCTGTGACCCAACGAGCTACACAGGATCGCTTTATAAAGCCAGGAGATCTTATCATACCTGGAAGGTCAATGGGTAGAGGTCAGACGAAGTTCAGTCTCCTGGTCCTCCAGGTTGGGGGTTCGCCTGGAATTTGGCGTTTCAGTCGATAAAAAGCGGTGGAGGAGTAATTGATCCAAGTAAATGGGCCTCCACTTCGCCTCACCCGCTGCCTTGTGGTTAAGTTCTTGTTAGAACTAAAGGCTTTGGACGAGAACCCTAATCGTTCTCCTGCTTAGTGGCTGGACACCCTAGCAGCACCCGTCCACCAAACCCCAATGCATACACAAAATAAAAATAATTTCATACTGCATCGGTCGTCGCGCAGGATAATCAGGACCGCGCTGCCCATTGCATCGAGCGGGGTGGGTAGTGATAAGTGGGCTACTGCTCAGATATCCCCACCTTTGCTTAACTCTTTGTCTTCCGTTCCCAACCCTCTCCCTTTACCCCTTCTACCGACCTGTAATAGTCCCTCCAGCAACTTGGATGTCACTCACCAAAGGTCATTGCCAACTAGCACTGTAAGTGATTTATCACGGAATGGATTGCAGATTCTAAAGCCTCGTGAATCACTGAATCTGGGGGCCTTCAACGTGAGGACTTTGATGCAACTAGGTCAACAAGCTTGTCTGGCTCGTACAGTGGAATCCTTAGGAATCGATATTTGCTGCATGTCGGAAACTCGGATCCGGGATCCTACTACTCTAAG